TCCGCTTGTATTGGGGGCACAACAATGGCGGTGGCCATGTTGTCAGCTGTTGGTTGTGCCCAATCATAAAGTGCAGCTTCTGGTACAAGAGGTGCCACCACTCTGACGTTTGGGTCAGCTTGATCATCCCTGATGTTTCCGTTGACGTTATCTACGTCACCCATTTCAATTTCAAGTTGGTGTGTTTGTTGTGATTGTTTGTTCTTCTTGTTGGCACGGTTTAATGCCCTGAATGTTTTCTCGTGGTCTGAGAGTCCTTCAAGAAGTTCACCAGTCCTCGAAGAATCTCTAGGCATACACCTGAATCACACAAGAGTTCAAACGTGAGAGTTTCAATGCAAAATTATTTAACACCGTAGAAAATTGATCTAAGCTAATAATTCTAGCACTACTTCTAAGTTGTAATAAATAACACCGTTAATTCCCCGGCAACGGCGCCAAAATTTGATCACGCCTAACTATGCCTTATAAAAGACAAAGCGGTCGTTGCAAATATAATCCGATTTTCAAGTCCGGAGTCGAATCTTCAGGGAACTAACCTATCTACTACAACTCTTGGTGACGCTAGTATAAGCTCAAACAATTTCCGGATGCAAGATTTTTATCAATAAATAATGGGTTTTCGTTTAACTAAGTCAAAATGATATTAAAACTAACAATATTCTAAATCAAAGATAATTCAATGGTAAAAAGGTCTAGGGTATTGATTTCCCTAATTGCTAGTTTGAGTCTTAACTCTTTTGCTACAATCTCGCCGTAATACTCTATGAGGATTATGAGCTATGGGTTACCGCAATTATCTCTCGATCAACTACGATAATTTACTAGAGCATTCTCTCGAACTACTCTAGCTGATAATTTATGCAACTCTGAATTATCCCACCAAAGTTTCGTTATCTCTAACCCCACTTTTAAGTTCAAGTAATGAATCTCTTCAATTACTCAAAAGTGGTGTTGTTCAACAACAGTCTAACCTAGTATTCTTTCTCAAGCAACACAAAATTAGACACGATTAATCAAGGGCCCATTCAATTAATCACCATACAACACATAGTTGAACAATCATATAATAAACCCGGCTCGATTGTAACAAAATTTAGTCAAAACTTCATCCAACAATTGGTTCCATCAACCCTAGATTAAATGTTTAGCTACTCATAGAAAAGCAAGATAAAACTACAAAAGTATTCATAATGTGCAATTGAAATAACAAAGAGTACATAGAAAAACTCTAATGGTTGGTGGCTCTTCTCACACTTGTTCTAGCCTCCAAATCAATCTAAAAACAAGCTTAAACCTTGCTTGGGCGAGTTTGTTGAGTTTATAAAGGGTTGTGATAAGTTTTCCCCGATTTACACTTTAGTCCCAAAATTTCTGGGCAGTTACACAGTCCACCGCGGCCGTGGCAAAATGCGGCGCGACCGCGGTGAAAGACAAACATTCTGCCTCGCTTCCTTAGCCTACCGCGGTCCAGCCGCGGTCGACCGCGGTCGCGGTAGTCCTGCGAAGCAAAAGAACAACAATTAGAGTATTTTGTTATCATTTAACCTTTAAAACAACAATAAAGCATGGTACAATTGGAGTGTAAATAACATCTATATAGCCTATTATCAGTAGCCAGCGTGGGAAGTTCATGCAGCGGAGTTCAGAAAAGGATTGTTGTCTGATGTTTTTTTTATTTTTCTCTGATAAAATAATAGGATAGGAGTAGTATAAAATGGAGCTTGAAACGTCCAACAATATCCTGGCCTTTAAAATTTTTTGTAACACGTGGCAGCATCATACACCCCCATTGAGAAATACTGGAGGAAATAATACTGGAGGGGATCTTAACCCCATTCTACTATAGTCGCGTTGGTTGCATTCCACTATAGTCGCATCAGTTTTTACGATTTATAAGTCGCATTCCTACATTGCAATTTATTCTTATTCGTTAATATATTCCTGAATCACAATTTACAAGTCGCATTATAATTGCGATATATAAGTCGCATTCCAAAATGCAATTTATAATTTTCAATACGTAATAAGAATTATAAGTAGCATTTCTAAAATGTGATTTACAATTCACAATTTATATATCGCATGTAATTGCATTTTTAAAGGGAGAATGACACAGTTACCCACAAAAATAAAACTATTTACCCTTGTCTACCCATTTGTTTTTCTACCCATCAAACTAATTACATTTCCTACCCATAGTAGTTTTTGTGGGAATTTTTTTCTTTATTCTCCATTTTTTTTATTTCTATGCTTCTTTTCTTTTTTTTTTCTTTTCTCCTTTTCTTTTTTTCTTCTTATTTTTTTTCTTTTTTCCTTTTCTAATTTCATTTAACTTCTTTTTTTATATTCTTTTTCTCTTCATAATTTAATTTCATTTACTGCTTTCACTATTTTTTATTATTCGTTTTTTTATACTATTACTAAAGAAAGATCAAATTGTGTACCAATTAAATGTAGCTAATACAACCAACAAAAAATATTAACTAACATATGATACCAGTATAGTATATAGCTATACCAACATGGTATACAATTGTACGCAAAGAATTTAAAAAAAATCTTGTTTTGAGTTTCAAAATAACCACAAACTCAACAAACCCAATTTATGAGTTTTAGAGCTTCAAGGTCCTCCAATGGCAGATTTATGTTTTGCAAAAATCAGAAGTCTTGGAATTCAAGTCATAGAATACATCAAAACAAAAAAAAAAATTTGCGTTTTTAATTTGCCCGTCACGCTGGGTAAAAGCTTAAAGCGAAAGGCAAGTGAATTTACGGGTAATAAGTATACTATTATGGTATATTGTATACTATTCAATATACTGTTACAGTATATTTCATATTATTACAGTATACTATAACAATATAATGTATACTATAATAGTATATTGTTGTAGTATAACAATATACTCCTATAGTATATTGTATACTGTAGCTGTATACTGTTAGGTAATTGTGTTCTTCGATTATTACAATATACAGTTGCAGTATATTGTAAACTATAATAGTATACTGTTGCAGTATAGCTATATACTCCTACAGCATATTGTATACGATAGCGGTATACTATTGGGTAGCTGTGTTCTTCTTCGATTTTCAGCTGAAAATTTCGATCTCAATCACCTCAAATCAGCTCCAAATGCTATCAAATTTCAGTATGAACTTCCAGAAGGTACTATAAGCAATATTTAACAGCACCCACTTTGAATCAAACAAGAAATCTTCAAAATAAAAATTTTAAATTCAAGAGCTTCAAGCCCAACAATGGTGAACATTCAAATACACATAAAAATTCAGATCCGGGAAGCTTACTTGAAGGTACTATAATCAATATTTTATAGCACCCACATCGAATCAAACAATAAATCTTCAAAATAAAATTTTAAATACAGGAGCTTCAAGCTCATCAATGGTGGATCTTCATACACACACAAAAATCAGAGTTGGGAAACTTAATATATAACTGTAACACCACATGGGTTCAGAAATATAAAAAAATACAAAAAAAAAAACTAATATACAAAGAGGATTTTGGAGTGAAACTCATGTACAATAATATTGAAGATAGAAATAAAATCTGAAGAAAAATTCACAAGTCAAATCAGTAACTACTGTGTGAAATATGATTTCTCATGGTTTGGATATGGGATTTTGAAATGAAAGAAATGGCTGGGTGAAATAGCGTTAACTGAGGCATTAAATGAGGGGAATAAGCTAATGCATGGGCCGGATAAATAGTTTGGGCCGCATGGTAGGAGAAGTAAATAATTTGGGCATGAACATTAAAGGGTAAATAGTTTGGAATTAATGGGTATAAAGTGAGATTTTCTCCTTTTAAATACGATGTAAGCTAAAACCTGTATTGGTCTAAATTTGTTGACTTGGTAACGGTAGATAAACAGGATCGAGGACGGGGTCGATCACGGCGTAATAGCGGGAAGCCGTCTTTGAGAGGATCGTTGTCGGGGACGAGCAACTGGAGTAAAGAAATAACGGTAGGATAGGTTTAGAAATGGATACAAGGAATATTCCTTTAGATATTCCTTATTTTATATTTTTTAGGGTTTCTTGGAAGGGAAAAGGGCCAGATATACCCCTGTAGTAGTAAAAATTGTCCACATATGTCCTCCGTTATACTATCGATCTAAATCTACCCCTCCCATTAGCAAAGTAATCAAAAATACCCTTATTTCTAACGGTGCTCCACCATGGCAATCCAAATCCTAAATGTTCTGACATTTGGGTGAGGTGGATGCCACTGTGGCATGCCACCTCACCATTTTTCCCCTTCCAATTCTTCTTCCCCTCATACCTTGAAATAAAACTCTGTAGAATGATGTAAAGATATAAACCTTTTTCATTGCATCAACCATCTCTGTAGAATGATGTAAAGATAACACACTGAAAGTTCCAACATAATATACTGGAGATTCGAGCACTTGTGTATGAACTTCCAGCATATTATACTGGACCGGTATACTTTGCTGGAACTCCAGTATATTATGCTGGAGTTCTAGTGTACTTATGCTGGAACTCCATCATATTATGTTGGAGTTCCAGCATACTTATCATGGAACTCCAGTATAATATGCTGGAGTTCAAGTATACTTATGCTGGAACTCCAGCATAATATACTGGCGTATTTTTCGGGTTTTGAACAGTGTTTGCTCAAATTTATCTTTAAATAAAAAGTGGCTAAATTTCGATTACGTTTGAAACTGGGCTATTTTTGAATGACCACTTGTAAATCTGGCTATTTTTGAATTTCTCCCCGTTAACTACCTCGAAGGAAAGAAAACAAACATTGTCGTGGTAAAGAGTTAGAAAAGGGCCTCATTTCACTCCAATTTAAGAGAATTATATCCACAATTTTTTAGAGGTTACTAAATTCCATCAATTTCACCTCCTATTATGTGGATCTCCCAATCACGTGTCGTGTTTTTATCGGTGTAATTCAATAAATCATTTTCTTCAGAAAAAAGAAATTGTGAATAATTCTCCATTATCGGTCAGGACAATTTATTTGTTTGTTTGTTTAATGTCAATGATCAAGAAAGTTAAATATAAGAAGGAAAGATAGGATTATTGAAGTTTTTTTCACATTGAAAAAGGTTACTCCTATATTGAGAAGAATAAAAGAAGAGAAATAAGAATAAAGGCAAAGGAAATGGCTTTCACAGGTACATTGGATAAATGCAAAGCTTGTGATAAGACAGTTTATTTTGTTGATTTATTGTCTGCTGATGGAGCTACTTTTCATAAGTCTTGCTTCAAATGTAGCCATTGCAAAGGCACTCTTGTGGTATGTTTAATTAATTACCTTTCTCTTCTTTTTTTACTCTTTATTTTCTCTACTTCATGATTTGACAAGTTTTACGCTAATTATGAATTTATCGCAATATTTCTTTTATCCGATTTGGGACCAATAATGTCTATTCCAACTTGTTTGAGACTGATACGTAATTATTAGTATATTTCTTTTGCTCAACATGTGATAAGAAATCTTGTTTTTTATCGATCTCTAGCTTTCTTCGCCTTCTAATTTGCTTTTGTTATTGTCCTGTCAAGGGGCGGAGGGAGAGTAGAACCTATATGTTCGGCCAAACTAAGTAGTTTTGGTCCAAACTATATATTTGCCTTAAGAAATTCATTGGATATATATAAATTATTAATTTAGAACCAGTAACTTAAAAGAAATAGAATCCCGAACTCACAAGTTTTAAATCAGGCCTCCGTTTTTTGCCATGTCTGGGCCCCATCCCCAACCTCTCCTCACTTTTGAATATATATATATATATATATATATATATATATATATATATATATATATATATATATATATTCTTACCTAATATGGGATCTTGAAGGCATGTATTCATTGTAAATCCATGCTACATTGTGGCTTTAAGATAGACCAAGTTGTCAATGAAATTAATCATCAAGAATTAAGAAAACAACTAGACCCTTGTTTCTATGTATTTTACTGGGATAGGGTAGCACGAAACAAAAGGTATCTCGCATTCACACATGATCTGGGGAAGGATCGCACTGTAAGGGCGGTAATACAAGCGCTTCATCATTTTTGTGTATCTTACTATATTTCTCTTTTTTATTGTACATTGAATAATGTGGTCACTTTTTAATTTAATATAGTTGTGGTGTTTTTGTACAGATGAGCAACTACTCCTCAATGGATGGAGTCCTCTATTGCAAGCCACATTTCGAACAACTTTTTAAGGAATCTGGAAATTTTAGCAAGAACTTTCAGACTGCATGTAAGACATCATTTTCTCATACTTCATGTTTATTTGCAAGGTTTCACAGTATTCAATTTCTTCATATTTACTAACCAATTTTAACCTTATTTTTTTAAATTTATGTAGCCAAACCTGAGAGGGAAAATTCTTTGGTACGTTGTCTCAAACTTCACATCTAAACAATACTATAATAATCTCTCTTTTCTTGTCATTAAACAAGAAAATATGGTAACAAAAAAATTACACAGCCAATTTTAATTTATTAAGAATTGAGACGTAATTGTTATTAGGATATAATTAAACATATTCTTTTTGTATTTCCTTCAACCGTAAATTTTGTGTAGACAAAGGCTCCAAGCAAACTCTCAGCCTTGTTCTCTGGAACTCAAGACAAATGTGCTGCTTGCAACAAAACTGTTTACCCTCTCGAAAAGGTATGAAATTATTTTTTTTAGGAAAATATAAATTTTTAAAATATAGGTCATTTCCTGGTGTTTGATTGCCACAAAATATTCTCCGGAGAAAATGACTTTTCTCACTTTTGGGTGCATAAGTCATTTTCCTTCACGATTATTTCAACTCTTAACTTCATATTTATGTTTTAGGCTAATATTTTGCTTAGAAATTTATCAAACAGCCAAAAATATTTTCCGGAAATTTACTTTTATCAAACCATGTTGCTTATATTATCCATCTTTAATCATTATTTGTTGTCTATCTTTAATACTCAAAATTTTCATCAAAACAATACCCGATTTGCTAATACCATAACTCCTATCAATCCTTAATACAGTATGTATTTTTTCCTAAAAATATTTAACTCTCAACCAAATAACAGAAAATATTTTCTAGGAATTTTTTTCCAAAATGAGTAATATCTGAAAAATGAATTTTATCATACCAAACGTCCGATCAATATATATGATTTTGTGGAATAATAACTTATAAAACCCCCTATAAACTTATCTCATAATGATGATTTGTTAGGTAACAATGGAGGGAGAAGCATTCCACAAATCATGCTTCAAGTGTGCACATGGAGGTTGTCCATTAACTCATGCAACATATGCTTCACTTGATGGAGTCCTCTACTGCAAACACCATTTTGCTCAACTTTTCATGGAGAAAGGAAATTACCAACATGTCCTCAAGGCTGCTAATAACAAGAAGAATAGTGCTGAAAAGGCAGATGAAGAGCAAGAGCCAACTGAAAAGGCAGAAGATGAGCAGCCACAAGACAAGGAGCCTGATGATAATGAGCAACCACCAATTATAGAGGAATTCTGATCACTTAAAATTTTATATACTATTGATTTCTTTAACCTAAAATATTTGTGTTTCTTATAAGTTTGAAAAGATTTTCTCATTTAAATTCTTGTCTTGATTTTTTTTATTTCATTTTTTCCCCCTTCCAACTTGGTATCCAGCTTGTAAACATGTTTGAGAGGTTATTCATTTTGACAATACAATAATTTGTTAGATAATCTTTTTATTTTATTGTTGCAAGCATTGCTGCTGAATGTTGCGGGCTAATGAATCAATTAAAAGAAGTACTGGTGAGGTGGTTAGGCAGGACATGACGCTACTTTAGCTTACCGAGGATATGACCTTCGATAGGAGGGTGGTGAGGTCGAGGATTAGGGTTGTGGGTTGACAGGCAATGTAGAATTTCGTCTAGGCATCCCAGTAGTATTAGTGCTAGTCTTATATTTTTCTATGCCTAGCCCCTTGCTATTTCATGTTGTGCCATTATTTCCAGCAAGACTAAATCTGTTTTTATAGTGTTGTCTGTTTATTGCTTTATTAAGGTCATGTCTAATTATCTGGTTGTTGCTACTGTCGTTTACAGCAAGACCCATGTCTAATTACCTAGTTGTTGCTACTGTCTGTTTATTGCTTTATTTTCACTTCTTTTCACTATTAGAAATCCGAAAAAAATGACCAAAATTTGGCGACCAAAATTGGTTTGTCAAGAAAAGCGACCAAAGTTGGTCGCTAAATTGGAGAAAATAATTAAATAATTATTCTAAATACATTAGCGACCAAGGTTGGTCGCTTTTTGGTCGATAATGTGGTCAAAATGTTGACCGGAATGGTCAGACTTGCTTGGTCAAAGAAATACTGAAATTAGCGACCAACTTTGGTCGCTAAAGTGGGACCCAGCATAAAATTTTAATAATTATATTATTATTTAAAAAAAATAAAATATAAATAAATATAATTTAAAATTAGCGACCAAAGTTGGTCGCTTACGAAAGGGGAAGCAGATGGAGACCAACTTTGGTCGCTAATCTGGGATCCAGTTATAAAATTTTAATAATTATATTATTATTTAAAAAAAATTATAAAATATAAATAAATATAATTCAAAATTAGCGACCAAAGTTGGTCGCTTACGAAAGGGGAAGCAGATAGAGACCAACTTTGGTCGCTAATCTGGTACCCAATTCTAATGTTTAATAATTATATTATTATTTTAAATATTATATAAAATATAAATAAATCTGATTTAAATTTAGCGACCAACTTTGGTCGCTAATTTTAATTTCTGGATAATTAGCGACCAAAGTTGGTCTCTTTTCAGGTCAACATTGGTCAAAATTAAAAATCACTTTTGTAT